AGAATTAAAATAAACAAATAAATTAAAATAAATTTTTTTATTTAAAATAGGCTAACATAAAAAAATAATAATAAGAACTCATTCATTAAAAAAATTAATATTTATCACAATAATAAATAATATTAATATTAAAAATAATAATAATGATAAATAAATAAATAAAAAGAAAATAAGAAATTGTATGTTGAGCTAAATAATAATAATAATAATAATAATAAATAAATAAATAAATTAGGACAAAAAAATAATAAAAAATAAAAATAGTAAAATAGTCCAAAATTTAAAATTGTCCGATTTTAGGAAGAAAGACTTTAAGGTTAGAGGTGTACTTTACTCCAAGAAAAATAAAAGAGGCTATGAAAGGGTGGAAGTGAAGTTAATGAAGGCCATGATTTTGAGTAGTGGAGGTTAGTGTGAGAAAAAGGAAGAGAATGAATGAATGGTAGAGAATAAGCTTCCATAGTGAGTTTTGTATTTTTGGATGAGCATAGATGGAGGAATGAGTGGAGAGATAGTCAGACTTGGATGTTTGAAGTGGTGGTTTGAAACTTTTTTTTTTTTTTTTTACCATTTGGAATTGATTTAATATATGAAATGTTTATTCAAAATATAAAAATGCATGAAGAAGAAAAAAAAATATAAAATGCATAATAAAACTTACTTATGTTTTTGAAATTTTTGTTTGCCTATTATTCTTCCTCCTTTCCACTAGCCCTCTTTTTTCTATATTTTTCTAAAAAATCTCTTCCTCCCAAAATTCTTGAACCCCTTTCTCATAATTTTTCTCCTCTTTTATTGTTAGAGTTTTCATAAAATGACAAAAATCTAAAAAAATTTCTTTTTATGTATAAAGTAACATTGATTTAATAGTTTGATTATTTACCATATTCTATTTTCTTTTTAAAAATTAATTTTAAAATTTTTCTATTTTATTAAGACAAATTTTTATTTTTTTCTTAAAACATTTATTTTCATTCTCCTTTTATAATATTAAAATTCAGATTTTTTAAAATTAATTTTTTTTAATCAAAATTTTAGTATTCACACTTACTTTATAATAAGGTCTTAAATTTAAAAAAATCATCTTTAAATAGATTAATAAACTTAAACTTATATATAAATTAACAGACTTAAATATTTAATATCAAAATATCATCTTATTATTGTTCAATTTTCACCTTTAATATAAACAATCTCTTTAATTCTTTCAATGAGTAAATAATTACTTTAACCATTAATTTTGTAATTTCTTTTCGATTCTATCTCTAACTTAATATACACTTCATTTAGTTTTTGAGTGGTTAAAAATTCTATCATATTAATCCTTGTTATTAATAAAACTGTTCAGGAAAGACATTATTCACAACTTGACATGTTAATTGTGAATTAAAATAATGTTAAATATTAAAAAATAAACATATATCAACAAAGATTTAAGACTAATAGAAAGAATAACAATGACTTTTAATAATTATCTCCTTTAGCTTTATACAAGGCCTTCTTAGAATGTGACAGTGTTATTTAACGTGTTAAATTAAAACTTAACATGTCACATAAAACAATCTATTAATTATTACTAATGTTAATGTTTTGTGGAGAATAACTTAATATATTTAAATAATTTAAAGATTAAAATAGTAAATAAAAGAGGAATATAAGATAGAGATAGAAAATTAAAGATGAAAGTAGTGATTTGCTTTAGTTCCAAGGGTTCCCTGGTGCTGTTACCATTTTACTTTGTCATAAATAGGGTTGTGGAGAGTGATTCACAGAGTAGTGTCTGGCCTCAATGCAACAGCTCATAGCCACGCGGTTCTCTTTCTCTAATGAAAGCCAAAGTCAATGCAAAGTTTGACAGAGTACACCAAATTTTCTTCTCCATATTCAATCCAAAATCAACGTTGTTATGCAACCTCACCAACCCTCTGCCAATCTCATTATTTTGGAATAACTCTTTCACTTGTAATTTCAGTGTTTTGGGTCCCTCTTTTCCACTGTTTTGCCAAATGTTTCATTTTCATATGAACAACTTCCCCAAACACACACGTATAGATGTATAGATATGGAGATATAGTTGTTGACAAACAAATTGCAAATAAAGTTTGTGTCTTCCTAACACTTTTAGGGTACTTAGTAGTTAAAAATTTAAAAGTGGAATTTAAGAAAAAGAATATATTGGACTGATGAAAATTATGAGAAAAATATTATTAAAAGTATTGATTAGCATTTGACATAAAGTTATTCTAAAATTATTTTTGTTTATTTTATTTTATTTAGTAATTATATTTCAATATTATTTTACATTAACAAAAATACATTATATTAATAGAATTATTTATCAAAGTGTCAGTTATTTTTTAATTGTCTAGTAAACTTAATCTTCATAAAAAAATTTATTTAAAAATCAAATATATAAAATTCAACGTTTATAAAAAGTTATTAGGTATGATAACTTTGACAAATAATTACACCAAAAATTTCTTTAACTAGTTTATCTAAAAGTAATTCATTAAAAAAAGTTATTTTCACCTCTAAGATTTTTTTCAAAATTATGTTTGACCTAACTTTTCCTTTTACAGAATAGAGAGGTTAAAAAATTTAAAGTAATATTAATTATTATTATTTTATTAATAAATTTTTCAATTTAAAAATTTTCAAGTAAAATAAAAAATATTTACACTATTTGAATAATTTAAAGGTTAAAAAGAAAATCTATAATAAAAGAATAATTTAATAATATTATTAAATAATTCTAATTTAATGGTTTGCTTCTTTGATCAATATAACGTTTTTTGTCTTTTGACAAATAAATAATTACGGAAATAGTATCTCATTAGAAATATAAAAGTTATTTGATTCTTTTATAAATAGTTAGACATATTAATAGAATTTGTAAATATTCCTTAAATAATGACCTTTGTCATCAAAATCCTATTATATACGCCCTTTAGTATTTTTTTTTATAAATAAAATATTAATTTTTTTAATTATAAAAATCAAGTACCTATTTTTAATGTTTAATTACTAACTTTTACACCTTATTTATTATAAGATTTGTGTTAACAACATACTAACTCAGTAATTATATAAGTGAGTTTGTTTATATTATTTATAATATATAAGTCATCAATTTATTCATTTAATATTATAAATATTTTTGAAATAAAAAATAAATGTAATATGTGATTAGTTTTTATTAATATTAAAAGTATATGTTTACTAATAGTTAGTTTTATTTATCTATATCTAATATGATAGATTTGTGTCCTCAATTTAATAAAAATATTAACATGAATATGTATATAATCTTGCATTACCACATGTCTTCTCCATTTAGTGATACATAGTTAATGTAAATTATCATTAAAATAATCTTCTATTAACCAAACCCATTTTTCAAAATTTTCAAAATAAAAATGTTCTAATTTATATATTTTTATATTTCATGTATTTTTAATATTAATAAAATATTCTTTTATAACTTAATTTTTTTTATTTCACTTCTATATTTACAAGCTGTCTGCAATACAGGATATTATTTAATTTTATGAATGCATATATTGTTTTATTTATCACTAATCCTTGAGGCGAAATATGATTGTATATGAATAATTATATGTGAATATTAACTTTATGCAAACAATTTTTAACAAAATATAAACACAACGAAAGAGGTTTGTTTTAAGTTACACTAGAACCGTATTAATTAATATAAAAGGGAAATTGTTAACAATTTTATTAACAACTGTCTGTAAAGAAATGCTTAAGAAATAAAAAAATGAAATTATAATGTATATATATATATATATATATATATTATTTGTTGATATGAAATACTATTCGTTGCTGTGTATTTTTGCTGCAAGAATGGAATACACAAATTGAATGAAACTGTTCACCACACTTCAGACAAATACTGTACAGCCCAGTGCCAATTAATGTAAGACTCAAAATACTATATGGCAGTTGACCTGAACCACATAATATAAACAGTGGTAGTAGAAATTTCGGGGACTTGTATTGGCCACAATAGCCTACTCTACTAAATATGCAACCTATAATTTTGCTAGCTGTTTATGAATCACAGTGATAAAAAATTTTCCTTCTCCTTGAGGATTACTTAAATTGTTGAGGGTTTTTTTGTTTTTTTGAATTGTTGGATCCAAGTGAGAAGCAAATTAGAAATTGCAAATTGGTAAATCATATTAATTTATTTTCTATATGGTACACACAACATTTTTATGTTTACATACCGTTTGAATGTGTATTTATGAATACAGAAAAGCATAAATATATACCATGCATTGATGACTACAGCCTGTTCAAATCAACCACAACTGTTTCTTTGAGTATCATTTTTTGCATATTGATATTCTTACATAGTGTATGTCCCTATCAGTTTCCACAAATGTAGGGGTACTGTGGTAGATTTTCCTGTCAAGTGATTAGATATTTTATATATTCAAGCGAACTTTACTAGCTAATTGCATTGAAGGAGACAAAGGTGTGACTCTAAATGAGCTTTCTAAGTCCTGAACTTTTCAGTCTAAGCATAGCAAAGAAAATGGTGTGTACCTTCAATTAGTACCACATATAAGATTTTTGCACATAAATCAGCTTAAGAGCATAGCATAGAAAATGGTGTGTACCTTCAATTAGTACCACATATAAGATTTTTGCACATAAATCAGCTTAAGCTTTTATTTGATCAACTAGAAAAAAATGCATGGTTAAGAGAGATGAAATGTTAGATATTCAACTGAAATTCTGGTCATGTGCACAAAGTTTTTTAGAAAAATTCAGGCATTATTACAAGAAGTAGTGAATTAATACTATGAGTAAATGCACCCTGCAAGACATCAACTAACCTTACACTCTTCCCACCTGCTAATATTTACTTCAGTTCTGTGAACCATTTTATATTCCCTTCTACCCCTTACTCCAAAGCACTTCAAAATCCTCTAATAACCCTTCTTTCTCTATTCCATCTCTTTGAAGCAATGGAGAGGAAAAGAAGCCATGTCTCTCTTACCATGTTTGCAATGCTTGTTGCATTGCTTTCCCAAAACCTTGTAATTCCTGTAATATCCACCACTGTTGAAGATCAGAAGAACTACTATACACCTGATCCTCATTCTCCCTCAGGTTTCTCTGATTCTCTGTGTAATTCTCTAACCAAAGTATATCAGCATTAGTCCAATATTTATACAAAGCATAAATACTATTACTATCTACTCACATCTTGGATGAAGTTTTTTTTTTTTTTCATGATTTAATATTACACGTTAATTTTATTTAGCATGAAAGTTGAAGATTTTGATAATATACATTGTCTTATATTGTAGGCTCACATAGGAGTCCTCCATCTCATGGACATGGAAGCTCTCCACCATCACATGGTGGTGGAGGTTATTATCCATCCCCTTCAACACCTTCAGGTGGAAACTGTGGATCATCACCACCACATCATGAACCTTCTCCAACACCCTCAACACCCTCAACACCATCAAACCCTCCCTCAGGTGGATACTATAACAACCCACCAACTCCAGTCACTGTGAGCCCACCAACCACCCCTATTGACCCTGGCACCCCTTCTATCCCCTCACCACCTTTGGTTCCTTCTCCATCTCCCTTCACAGGCACATGCAAGTAAGTTACTTCCATAACACACTACATTGTTATCAACTATTGATTTTTTGTCACCTTCAAATCCTCTACACTACTCCTACATATACGTGTCCAGGAAGAAGAGAGAATATTTCTATCTCTTGTTCTTACACACAATACGTGACTGTAGTAGTGGAAAATTTTGAGACATTTTTAACGATATGATAACAAATGAATATTTTATATGAAATGTCTCTTAAAAAAAAGTCTCTAACTTTTTTTTTTTCATTTCTACGTCACTTTGCATTCCATCCGTGGGATAAAGGTGTAAGCAAGAGACGCCAAAGGAAATAATATGAAATGAATATTTATACAAATTCTAATTTCTTCACTCTCTTTTTTTTGTGTTTATTTTATATCTCTTATTATTTCTTTCTTTTCTTTTTCTTTTTTCCATTACATGTCTCATTAAAATATAGAATATAGTCTTAAAGGGTATGAAACACTTATTTCATTTTGATGTAGCATATTGTAAGTTCCTACATAATGTATTATTGCAAGTGTTACATAATGTGATGGATGCTTTTGCTCTAATCTTCAGCTACTGGAGGTCTCATCCAGGAATCATATGGGGATTGCTTGGTTGGTGGGGAACATTAGGTAGTGCATTTGGTGTCACAAGTGTTCCAGGGTTCAGTCCTGGACTCAGCTTGCCACAAGCACTCTCAAACACCAGAACTGATGGGTTAGGATCACTCTACAGAGAAGGAACAGCTTCATTTCTCAACTCATTGGTGAACAACAAGTTCCCTTACACAACCAACCAAGTGAAGGACAGTTTTGTGGCATCTCTAAACTCTAACAAGGCTGCAGCAGCACAAGCCCAGCTCTTCAAGATGGCCAATGAAGGAAGAATGAAGCCTAGACCATGATGAAATCGAAGATTAATTAGTTTTAATTAGTTTGGTGTGTCAATTTATTGTGTTAAGAGCATTTATTTCTAAGATCCTTGTTAGTTTATGTTATTTAAGGCTCACATATGTGCTAATTAATATGTCTTGAGATGGAAATCACGTTTCTTCGCATGCAATTTAATGCAAACTTTATGATTTTGGTTTTGAATAAAGTTCATTTATTGTTGCAAACTTGCAATCGATACATAGTCTAGAGCTTCATTGATTAAGACAAGTTCTTTTTGTTTAAATTTAAAGAAAATGTTATCATCAGGGGAACGAATAATTATTTATTATTAATAATACAATTTTATTGAAAAAAGAAATTTATTATACTTTTATAGTTATAATATAATAAATATGTGTTTTTCTATAAAGGCTTTTTTTTTATTTATTTAAACTCAAATCTAAGACTTGAGGTTAATTAAATTCTAAATTTAAATAAAAAGTAGCTTTTTTAGTTATTGTTTTTAATTTATAACTAATGCAAACAATTTTCGTAAACATAATTTTTAATTAGAAAGGTATTTCTTTTATTTATTTTAAAAAACTCAAATAACGGAGCCCAATCCTAATTAGATTCTTTGATAAGAAAAATAGAAGGAAAAGAACAAAAATAAATTAAAATTAAAGAGATAATTAAAGAAGAATTTTTATAAGAAATTTATTTATTTATTCTTTAACATAACAAAATATTATATATCACTATTTATATTTTCAAATCATTTAAGCAAAGCATAAATCCCTGTGTATGAAGCAGTTTCAAAGTGATATAATTTTCCCAACAGAGTAATAGCGATGTAGCCACAGACTAGAAGTGTAGATTGGACTCACTACACAAATTGCATTCAAATGATTGGAATGATTGGTGAGTTGCACACCAGCAATGTCCCAAATCTTGCATGATGTGTTTGTAGTATAGCCTAGTATTTGTTTCCTAGTAATATAGTATAGTACACATGATTCAGTTCTTTTTCTTTTCTTTTTTCTTTTCTTTTTTTTGCATTTGTCTATAAGCTTGTTTGAAGACAAAGAAAAAGAGATACCCATTATACAAAAGGAAATTATATTGTATATATATATATTTATTGGAATGTTTCCTTAATTTAAACAAAAAATTAAAATGTATATATATATATAAAATAAGATTCATTATATATAATATCAAATTTATTGTTACTAAATTTTAGAATTTCAGAACTCCTAAAAGGAGGAAGAGACTGGCCATGGGATGTCCAGTTGAAGCCAATTTAATAACTCCGAAAATTTAATAAAGGGTATAAGACTGTCGCTTGGTCCACGACATTTATATCCCATAAATAAAGAATATTATATTAAGCGTGTGATTAAATTCATATTTAAATTATTATGGATTAATATTTATTTTAATTTTACTAATTAGGACTGAATAAATTTATATTTATAAATCTTCTAATGTGTGTTTTGAAAGAACAAAATTTAAATGCAGTATCATAAATATTGTTGATACTATTTTTTAATTAGAATTGAAGTTTCATTTAAGTAATATGTAATGATTTTTAATGATGATATGCGAATGTTCTAAAGGTATTAGGTAAATAATAATTTTTATCAAAAAATATTAGAATTATTGAAAATTATGAAGGTGGATGCATTTTTATATTTTTTAATAAAATACTTTTATTTTTTCCTAGAAGATTTTGTTAGCATTTTCTAAATTTTACATATTTGCAAATTTATTTAAAAAAAAACTCTAAGTTAACTTAAGGGCACCATATATTAACATTTAATCTAGAAATAGCATATATTAATTTTATTTACTAATATAGCTATCTCTTAGTACAAATTTACAATATTTATATTATTTAATTTATTAAAAAATTATCTAACTAGTAGTGTTAAGGGATGTTCGTTTGAGGGGTGAATCTCATTCTTTTGAGGGGTGTTTATTTAATTTGATTGATTGATGTTCTAATCGTTCGGTTTGTTTTCTTTAATCTAATTTAGTTGTAGTCTTTTTTTATTTTTATTTTTGCTGTTATTCTTTTATTTTATTTTATTTTATTTATGTTTTGGGTTGAAATAACTTTTGTACTATCAGTAATATTTTTATTTTTATTTTTTGCCTATAAAATTTTTTTAAAAAATTTTAAAATTTTCAACATATCATATCACATCTTGTTTATATGTAGCTATTGAAGGGAACTTAAAATATAAAAAATAAAATAAAATAAAATAATTACAAAATAACTCTTAGATAATCAATTATCTAAATCCTAACAAATAACCTAGATAAGATGGAGCTTGTTCTAAAATACATCAGTTATTATCTAAATCCTGATTCATATGAAAAAAAAAAAATAATTAACACATTTTTAGCTTATCGATAAATATGGACTACATTAACGGATTTACACTCTTTTATTAAACAATTTTTTGTGCATGCTTGATTAAATAAAAAAAGTAAACCAATAATATTTAATAAATCCAAATAAATTTGACTTGATGATAAAAACTATTAAAAATTTAATATGAAAATAAATATATTTTAAAAAAGATAACGTTTAAAGTTAACGATTTTTAATAATAAAAGCTGTTGAAAAAGTAAAAATGTCTACCGAAACATATTAATTAATGAATAATAACTATTCAGAGATTAATTCATTATAAAAAATCTCATTAAAAATAATAATATAAAAATAAACATGATTTTTAAATGATATAATTATCCTTTAATTAAAATTACTATAATTTTCTAAATTAATTTTTAATTTAACTTTTTGATAGAATATATGTATATATAACAAAACCAACTATTTTTATTTTCATAAATTATAATACATTTAATAATATTTTATAAATATGTAAAAATATTATCAAAATTTTTACATAGATATATTTCATAAAAAAAATTTTAAAATAATGTTCATGTAAATATTTTATTAAAAACTATTAAAATTATATTTTTATAATTATTTTTTAATAAAATATTAAAGAGGATACTCTTGTAGGCTTTGTGATACAAAAAATAAAGAGGTATTGTATCTTTTTTTTTTCATTGCAATATTTTTATGAGACTGTGATATACGATGTTAGAATGATTTAATGTCAGTATATGCTTACCTATTAAGTATATATAAAATTTCATGTAGAAAAAAGAAATAAAAGGGAGCTCTAATGTTATGGTTTACAATAGTAGAGATAATTTGATTTAAGAGAAATAATATTATCTTTGACAACAGTGTACTAAATATTAGTAAAATGTTTGATTCTATTAAGTATTATTTTTAGAAGTGACTTATGACAAAACTTTTAGGAAGCTTAAATATATATATGAATTGGATTAACAATCCTTTAATATGTATTATTAATTCTCTTTAGAGATGTAATAAGATAGAGTATTTCTTATATTCATATTTTATTTTTAATAAAATGTTGATGCTTAGTAAAAAAATATTTTTATTATCAATAATAATTTGAATTAATATTATATAATATGATAACTTATTTCATTTAACCACCAAATAAATTCTAAATAAATATTTAATAATTTAAGAAAATATAATTTATTTTAAAATATAAAAAAGGTGCATAGATGACAACGTAATACATCATTTTAGTTTTTTAAATTATGAATTTATAGAAAAATTAGTCTTTTAAATTATTAAAAATTAAAATTTTACTCAAAATCAATTGTTTTAATTTTTAATATTATATATATTATCAATTTAATCTTCAGAATTATTAAAAATTAATTATTTTATTACTTAAAGTTAAGAAATCAATCATTTTAGTGTCGATATTGTACAAATCTAACAATTTATTTTTTAAACTTTTAAACACCATTCGATTTGGTCTTTAAAAATATAAGTACTATTAAATTTAATTATTAAAATTATAAAAAAATTCAGTTTAGATAAATTTTAAAAATATTTTAAGAGAAAAATTAATTAATATATAAATTAATAATTAGAAATAACTTATATTCATTTTTAAGAGATTTTTTATTTAATTTTTCTAAAATATCAAAAATAAAATATTTTTAACTTATAAAAAAATTATTTATTTTTTATATTAATTTTTTTACAAAACTTTTCTAAAAATTTATCTAAGGGAACTAAAAAATGACATGTTTGTAGTCTCTGACGTCGACTTGAGAAAGATATATAGCCACGGCCCACGGGTAACACGCTTAAGTTAATTATTTATTTCATAGGCCACCGAAGGCATGCATGAATTTTAAAATAAATTATTATCTTATTCGATAACATAATAACTATAATCTTTATAAATTTAACATATACTTTAACAAATTAAATATAACATAATATCGAAACGCTGCTCTTTAATCTTTATAAAACGTTTAAATGTTTTTCAAAAATGTTTTAAATTTATTGAACCAATTTTTTTGTTTTATTTTTTTATCCAACGGGTATTTTATTTATTATTTTAATAAACTCATAAAATATTAATCAATATTTAATTTTTTAAATATTAATTAAATAATATACAGAGAATTAATAAAATAAAATAGTATTCTAAATATTTTAATATCGTATTAAAGTCCATTTCACTTCAACACAGTCATATGTCAAAGGTCAATTATTATCCTTGCCGCCTGTGTTAATATAGTCGCCATGAATCTACATTAATAATATAATATATAATATTAATAATTAATTTTGTTAGTATAAATAATAATATGTATCGTTAATATATAAAATTTTAAATTTAAGTGAATGCAGTTTCGTTTTTAGTAGATACTAAAAGATTATGAAGCATTAATAATTTATATAGATTTATAATTTTTTTATAAATCATTTAATTTTTATTTTATAAATATTTATTAACTAAGAGAATCACATTGTACGCTGAACAATTTTTTTTATAGTAAACAAATTTTATTGTTTAATAATATTTTAAATTTCAAGATAATTAATTTAAATTTAAATTAAAAAAGGAAGGAATAATATTTATATGGGCCATTATAATTTATAGAAATTATTATTATTTTCAAACGATTATAATTAATATTATTGTTAAAAATAATTTTAACTTAAACACATTAATCGTTTACAACTTACATTGTATAATGTTAATATAAAAATACACAAGGAATTTTACATCTACAAACATATTTATAAAAAACTTGACATCAATAATAAAAAATAATTAAAATATAAATCAAGCCTAAGAAAAATTATAAATAATAATTACTAAAAACTAAGTACAGTGGAAAGCTGCCACGTGTGAACTTATTTAAAATCACGATCCTCGTGCCACAGTATGTTGATTTTTGACAAGGATTGTCGTGTACACAATAAAAAAAATGAATAGAAAAGAAAGAAAGATATGACACTAATAAAAAAATAACGCGTGTTCCATGAGACTGATGAGAGTGATGAATTAAGAGAAGTATATTTATCAATTATTATTATTATGAAAGTATAAATACACCATGCAACAACTTCATTTCATAACACTCACTTTTAAACTAAAGTTCAATTTCTGCTTCAAGTTTGATATTTTGTTTCTCTTGTGGCTGAGGAAGAGTTCTTGTAAGTTATTTCTCATTTTTCAGTTCATTGCTACAATTGTGTTTCTATGTTTGAATATTTTAATTGTTTGTGTTTATGCCTCTGCTTCCCCTGTTAGTTGTTATTATACTAGCTAAAGTATTTATTGAAAAACTAAATTAAATTAAACCTTTCTAATAAATTAAAAGTGTAAAGCTTTTTAAGAAATTAAACGAAGAAACTTGTAAATCTTAATTATATTTCTCTAGCTGCTTCTGTGCTGCTGATAATAGTTATCTAGTTCTTCATGGTTTTTACTATTTTTATTGTTGGAAGCAAGTTTTCTATTGATGGAGAGGTGTGAGAGCTTAGCTTAATGTACTGCACCCTGCAAGTTCTTCTTTTAGGCAGTTTCTCTAGAATATATTTCTTCCATTTCAAGGTATATATCATTTATGATAATTATATAGTAATTAAGAAAACTATTGTATAGCAATTGGGATAAATAGATTTAACATGGGAGTTTCTTGAAATCTTACAAAAAAATGTTTTACTAAGCTTTCTTGTAAAGTTTATTAAAATTAATTGTCAAAAGTTTATAAAAATGTTATAAGCCATTTTCTTTGTCTGTATATGTTTCATAAAAAAATAAAATTCAAACGCCCCTTGAGTAGGTCCAATTATAAAAATAATACCTATACTTGAAAAAAGGAAAGTCATTTTAATATGTATGTAATTTCTTCTTAAAAGGATTATTAAAACAAATATGCAGTAAGCGCCAATGCAGCACTTGAGCTTTTTCTATCATCAAACTTTGATAGGATAAGTTTTCATTGAAATGAAATTTCATACTGCATTAGTGGTTTGTACTTATTTTGTTGAGTGGCATATTAGAACACAATATAAGATAAAAGAAAAAACTATTTGTTTTTCATGGTTATCCAAAACTAGGGATAAAATAAAACAAAATTCTTCTCCAACATTACATAAATGTTCAATAGAAGTGTTAAAGTTGTTCTAAAAGTTCATAGTTTTCTGACAAATTCTTATGTGACATGATTCAACAGTTTGTGCAGAACTTATGATATATATCTCACTTTGCATTGCTTTACACAAAAGTTATGCAGATATGGCTAGCACCTACAAGCCAAAGAACATTCTTATCACAGGTGCAGCAGGTTTCATTGCATCGCATGTATGCAACAGAATAGTTCATAACTACCCCGATTACAAAATTGTTGTTCTTGACAAGCTTGATTACTGTTCAAATCTGAAGAACCTTATTCCTTCACGTTCATCTCCAAATTTCAAGTTCATCAAGGGAGACATTGGAAGTGCTGACTTGGTCAACTACATTCTTCTCACTGAGTCTATTGATACCATAATGCACTTTGCAGCACAAACTCATGTTGATAACTCTTTTGGTAACAGCTTTGAGTTCACTAAAAACAACATTTATGGCACACATGTTCTTCTAGAAGCTTGCAAAGTCTCTGGTGGTCAAGTGAAGAGGTTTATTCATGTGAGCACTGATGAGGTTTATGGTGAGACAGAAGAGGATGCAGTTGTGGGAAACCATGAGGCTTCTCAGCTATTACCAACCAATCCATATTCTGCCACAAAAGCTGGTGCTGAAATGCTTGTAATGGCATATGGTAGATCATATGGATTGCCTGTTATAACCACCAGAGGGAACAATGTTTATGGGCCTAATCAGTTTCCTGAAAAGTTGATACCAAAATTTTTGCTCTTAGCCATGAAGGGAAGGACTCTTCCAATTCACGGTGATGGGTCTAATGTTAGGAGTTATCTCTATTGTGAAGATGTTGCTGAGGCTTTTGAGATCATTCTCCACAGGGGTGAGGTTGGACATGTTTATAACATTGGGACAAAGAAGGAAAGAAGAGTGATTGATGTGGCTAGGGACATATGTAGGCTTTTTAATTTGGATCCTGATACACATGTAAAGTTTGTGGAGAATAGGCCTTTCAATGATCAAAGGTACTTCTTGGATGATGAGAAGCTGAAGAATTTGGGGTGGTTTGAAAACACTACTTGGGAAGAGGGTCTAAGAAAAACCATGGATTGGTATGTTAAGAATCCGGATTGGTGGGGCGATGTTTCTGGTGCTTTGCTTCCTCATCCAAGAATGCTCACTATGCCAGGAATTGAGAAGTACTATGATGGCACTGATGTGACCAAAAATTCTTCCAATCTTGATCAGAATACAGTGGTGGTGCCAACTATGAGGAACAAAAATGTGTCACCATACAAGCCTTCTTTGAAGTTCTTGATATATGGTGGTGCAGGGTGGATTGGAGGGCTTCTAGGAAACATTTGTGAGAAGCAAGGGATACCCTTTGAGTATGGTACAGGGGGTTTGGGTGACAGATCACAAATCTTGGTTGACATTAGGACCATTAAACCAACTCATGTTTTCAATGCCTCTAGTGTTAGTGGTGCACTAAATGTGAAATGGTTTGAAGCTCATAAACCAGAAACCATACATGCCATTGTTAGTGTGTTAACGTTGGCAGATGTTTGTAGAGAGCATGGTCTCCCCATGATGAATTATGCCTTTGGTGGTAATTTTGAAGTCACAACAAATTCCACTGATTCTTTCTATTTTAAGACACAAGCCAAGGTAGGGTTCATAACAAAATTTTGCATTGTGTTATATCTGTTAGCATAGCATGATCCACGAAATTCACCTCACCTAGTGAGATTTGTTTTTGTTACACATTTTTTGCATGGCCACTAACTTTGTTTTTATCACAATATGGTTATTTCAGGTTGAAGAGTTTCTAAAGGAATATGAAAATGTGTGCACCTTGAGAATCCAATTGCCAGTGTCATCTGATCTCAGCAACCCACATAACTTCATCACTAAGATAACAAGGTCAGATAAAGTGGCTAACATTCCAAACAGCATCACTGTTTTGGATGAGCTTCTACCTATTTCAATTGAGATGGCTAAAAGGAATTGTAGGGGCATTTGGAACTTCACAAATCCTGGTATTGTGACATGCAATGAGATTCTTGAAATGTACAAGAATTATGTTGACCCTAGTTTTATGTGGGTTAATTTTACACTTGAACAACAGGCTCATTTCCATTCTCCAAGCACTAATGAAATTGATGCATCAAAATTGAAGGAGGAATTTCCTGAGCTGTTGCCAATCAAGGACTCATTGGTTAAACATGTCTTTGAACCAAAAAGGAAAAACTTAGGTTATTGAGTAAATGTATACAGATGATCTATGTATTTATTTTCCCTTTTTGGGTACTGTGGTTTGGGATACTTTGATAGCTTTTTGCTCTTAGATTTTTCAATCTTAATATTTAGTTTGTCAATATCACAACTCCAATGAGCTAATGTATCTTATAGAGAGCACTTTATCGCTCTTTAAAATAAATCTGACTTGCGTGCACCGAGTGTCTAAAAGTTTGTTAGTCACATGGCTCTATGGTAAATTGGTAACATGAATCATTTGACTGAACAAATACATGAATAGATCTTCATCAAGTGCCTGTATCTTTAATTCTTTACCATTGAGTGTCTTTGCACTACGTAGATATTATTATAATAACATAATTTTTTCAATAAAAAATTAAAGGTATATTGTATTATTATTTAAAAACTGATAAATCTTATAAATAATTTTTATTATTAATACTAAATATTTTATCATATTAAATAGTCATAAATTAACTAGATTTTTTAATTAAAAAATTAAATTAAATTAAAGAAAATTAACTACTCAATGTGTAAGGTATTAAAAAATGAAGAATAACTCCAAGAAGTACTTTCAAAAATCTTAACAACTTTTCTATTGAAGGTGAAGATTAGGGGCTTCTTTGATTTCCACCTAAACAGAAGTTACACAACTTCCAATGTATAACCCCTCTGTTGTCTGTTGAGATCTTATTTTCTCAAGGAAAAAAACAAATCAATTCTTCAACGTCACTTGAGAAACACACAAAACAACCACTTAAAACATCTGTGTTGTATTAAATGAATCTCACAATTATTGCACGTTTTATACCTTAACATTTATTTGAACTTTAAATAACTACTGAAGCTCAGAGTTTTTGTTAAACAATGGTTGCTTAATTAAGCAATTGTTCCTATTATGCTCACCTCGATAAATAGTCTTTAATGCATAATTCTGATAAGCAACAATTACTTATTTAGAAAAGGTAGTTAAACACTCCGCTGAAGATGCTCTTAATATATAAAAGTAGTTTTACATTCTAGACCAAAGATGCATACATCATCTCACTTGGTTCTTATTTTTTATGGGTTTTATATATATATATATATATACAGGACAAGATGTTATTGTCTAAAAATTCTTACACTAAATTTAAACTTTTTATTTAACAAGTTATTATTTATTATTTTACTGACCGTTTAAATTGGGTGTAAAATTTTTTAAACTTATATTAGTGTAACAAAATTTTTTCCATATATATATATATATATATATATAAAAAGTCTTGATATTAAAACTTTTATATATATAAATAAGGTATTAAATTATTTTTAATTAATTTAAAATTCTATATTATGATTTCTACAATTAAATTTTTTAATTTTACAATTGATTTTGTGTTTAAAATATCAAGTTATTAAACAATGTAAGAATGAATGTAACTTATGCTAATATAATTTATTTCTTCCTTATACATGTATATATAATCATTATGAAATAACGTTATTTTTATTCAAATTATTCGTAATAAAATTTCATAAGAATAAATTAAAGAAACAACACTTCAGAAAATGAACAATAAATTAAAAATAAATTATTTGAATTAAGATGTATTCTTTCTATTAATTTTAAATCATGTATTAATTTTTTTAATTTTAACAACGGACTTTATTCTTCTTTTTTTCAGAAATTAATGAATAATTGATTTTTTTCCATGTTTTTCCTTTATTTCATTTTTCCTCTATATTAAACATTTTTCTTTTCATTATGGGTTTTTTTCCTATTAGTGAGGAGAAATTTCTTAAGCTGTGACATTTTCTTTTGAGTATAGTTTCCATTGTATTTTTTTTATCTGAAGGTAGTTATTTTTAGTGCTAACAATTTCTTTACAACAAAGCTTTTTTAAAATATCTCTTTTATTCAGTGAAATTTATTTAAAACAATAAATTCATGAATGAGGTTAATTAAATATAAAAAGAGCGAGATCAATATAATTTTATATTTTTAACAAATTTTAGTAAACGAAAAAAAATTTAGTGTGGAGGTTTTTTTTGGTCGAATAGTGTGGATTTAAAATTTATATTCTACACAGTAATGGGCTTAGCAGGTTTTTGGGGGCCCTATGACTACAAGTTCCACACAAAATGAAGGCAATAATGGACCAAAAAGAAAAGAAAACAAAAGCACATTCCTTTTTCTGTGTGTAAAGATTTTTCTTTTTACTACAAGTTTCTCTCTCTCTTTCTTGTAAAAGTTTTTTTATCTTTCTTCTTTTTAATTTCTTTTTCACGTGACTAGCTCTCCTTTTTTCTTATATACCTCTCCTTTATCTTCCTCCTACTATTTGTGATGCTTTTTTTTTTCATTCAAATTCATCAAAGTTACTCTTTTAAAGTGTCATCATGTCATATTATTGATTCATTGTTGTTGTCTCAGTGAACTATAGCAACAACTTTTTATTGATAAATGATGAAGTGATGATTTAAGCCAATTCTTTAATTAATGTTTCTAGTTCTTGTTGACTTGCTGGTAGAATTTGTGCAAATCCAAAAGAAGAAAAATATTCTTGTGGTTAGATATTTTGGCTGGGAAGTAGATTTGTTTTTTATTTTTTTGCTGTGTTTAGTATTCATGGGATTGCTAAGTTGTGTTTTAGTTGTGAATATGCATAGTTTTATTATTGTAATGCTCTTAATATTTAACATCTTTTACTGATAGCTCAAGAACGCTTAAATTATTTACAAAACATCATGAGTTGAATTTACTTTTTATCCTTAAATTAATATTTGAATCTAATTATCTGTAACATAAATGTTCAATTGAGGAAAAAAAAAATTTCTCAAATGTGCCCAAAAAAAAATGTTAATTGAGGAAGTAACCTATTAGCTTTGAAGGAACTTCATTGTCAATGACATATTAATTTAGTCAGCGATGCATTGAGATCACATATATTTTAAAAAGGACAATTTTATTCGCCCCATATTTATATTTGTGTGTTAGAAACTTCAGATTAACCAAAACCAGCACACCACATTAATTAAAAAGATAAACATTTCAATCAAATATCACCAAAAAACATGAGAATAAAACAATTCAAATGCACACAAATAGGAAATGAAAATCCAGGGAAGATTTCGCATATCTTAAATAAATATATATACCCTATCATGAAAAGCTATAAATGCCCAGTGATACACATATCATTGCACTCCAATGAAACTGTGTTTTGTACATATTCAATCACAAAGTGCTATAAGTGCTCAATGATACATTGGCCACTCCAATTAAAATCCTCTATAGTTTGTGTTTGCCAACAAGCTTTTATGACCCAAAACAAAATATTTAAAAAACAGCTCAAGAAGAACGTGCTTTGTACCCCTCTGTCCAGAAAAGAAGAATCCAAAGACCAACAAGCAGCATGGAAACAAAGCTCAAAGCATGTGCATGCTGCAAAATTACCCATCAAGCTATCAATCATTTATTCACCTCTTCACGTTATGTTCATATACATAACACAAGTTTTCTTTCATTTTATAGGTTATTTTTCTTTTTTAAATTCTTTGTTTTGTTGGTCATGGAAAGCTTCAGTTTGCACCCACCATGATAAATAATATTTAATAATTGTAAAGTAATTATATCATGTTGCATTATTTTCTGTTATTTTATACGACTTAAACAATTTTTCTCCCTAATGCTGTGCAATTTTGAAAAGTTTACCAAATAAATCTTACAAGTTATTCCACTTAACTATATCTCATTATTTATATTTATTTCATTTTTCTCCTTTAGTACTAGTATCATTGTCATACTTGCTATATTACTTGTCTGAATTTTTAACCTAAGTAATGGTTGCTCACTTTATAAATGGAAGTTTAATTTTCTTTGCCATGGTAATCGTTCCAATTGTGAAACTGATTCTGAGAACAGTTTTTTATTAATAAAAAGTGAAATAAATAAATTTTAATTCCTTAAACTAAAATTTAAATAAAAAGCATAATTTAAAAACTGGACTGTCAAGTTAATTAATCGAAGACTAGTCAATTAACCGATTCAAACAATTCCAAGAATTAAATGGTTTCAAAATTGGTTAAGAACTGCCCAATTGAATAAAAATCAATAGTCTGCATCGTTTGACCTTTTTCTCATAATTGTATAAAAGTATAATTTTATTTTCTTATTTTTTTCTCTCTCTCTTTTTTGTTTCCATCATATGATCGATCCTATATTTTATTATATTTTATTTTTTCCTATCTCTCTCTTTCTTGGCCTATTTTAAAGGGTCCACATTATTTTCCTTTAAAATACCTTGTTCAGATTTAAAAACCCTCACCCTCTTAAAAGCAACTCTCTTGTCTTTTCTACTTTTCCACTACATATTTGACAGTAAAGTAAAGCATATACTAATAATATATAATTGATAAATATATAATTAAAAATAATTTTTTTGTAATTCTTAATGAAATATTTATTATTAAAAATATTAATAAAAAGGTCATTAGTGATATATCTTGATGGGTAAAGAACATCTTTGGAGTATGTTGGTGATGAAGGGATGAAGCAGCATGCATTTGGTTGAGACTGTTATTATTTTCATGAAAGCTTGAAAGGGCAATGCAACTTCTAAGTGGGCCAGAAGCAGGCCCACTAAGTGGTTAACCATATACTATATTTTTTTGTGGTCCAAAAACAAGACCAGTCACGTGCAATTTGGGTCCTTTGCTCACGTGTCACATCCAACCAAGCAATTATGCTTCCCCACGTCAATGTCTTGCGACACAAGCAATACCAACTTGCTCACTGCTTTTTCTTGCCCTGCAAATTTATCAATTTAAATATTTTTCATGATGCCAATTTTTATTTATTTATTTTATATTATTCTTTATATTTATCATTTTGTTTCTTAAGGTGTAGAAATTCTCATAGATCTCTATTAAACGTTTTCTTCTTTTCTTTTTCATGCTGTGATGCTAATTGGGTATATATTTAATTCGTGTTTGTAAACAGTAGATTAATAATATATATAT